CTGTAATTTCTTTTTACAGTTGAAAAAAAGAAACAACTATTAACCAACATTTGTTTTTTTTAAATGAGAATTACGGAAGATTTTAATAGGATCTGGCTAAACCAGTGGTAGTGAACCTGTGGCACATGTGTTGCAGGGGGCGGTTTGTATCATTGAACCATTGAAAGTACTAAAAGGTTCTCCCACCACTGGATTGTTCATACCACACAAGTGGATCTGTCCAAATATCTAGTACCGCGTTATAGTCCGTCTTCTTGGGGCAGAATTTATTCTTTTCTAGGTTATACTTAGATTTCTGATTAGCATGGTAGAATAAAAATGCAGCTGTAGCAAGCAGTATGTTAAATAGTTCAATTTCAAGATTTGCTAAATTCAGTTTAATGTGTGAGTCAAAGTTACAGCAAAAGAGCATTTTCTTTTTACAATGAGGGTAGTCTATTAACTTGAAAAAATGTGTTGTCCTGTAATTTTTTTAAAGAATATATAACACTATTGTTAAGTGGGTAAGAATGTAATTTAATATGATATTAATCGTTTTAAAGTTTGTTTTGAAAGGTTACATTTTTTTTTTTAAAGAAAGTTAAAGTTTATGTTTCAGGTATTTAGAGTTTGTCCTTAAAGAGTTACTGTGAAAGTAGGACAATCATGATATATATGACCTTTTTCTGTCAACATTAGTTGAAGAATATAGGTTATCAGTTATACTCAAATGAGATAATGTACATTTCGATTATTAATAATATACGTTTTAACGAAATGTAATTCTCACATGTTGAAGTTTGGGTTTTTTATAATAAGTTAAATTAACTCGACTTTGCTTTAGCACATTGGACTTGCTACCTGACTTACCATGTCACAGCAAATTAAGCATTCTGAAGCAGTTTTATAGAAGGTGAAGTTGAATAACTTTACTGCCAGTGAATCCTGACATATTATAACTTAGTATTGAAAAAAAGAAGGCTTTTCACCTCCTGGTTTGCTTATTTAAGAAAGTACACCTGATTTTTAAGAGTCATGGGTACATGACAGGAAATTGTAAGCTATTAAACGTCTATGTTTTATTTCATTACTTTTTTTTTAAACATATATTTTTGAATGCGTTCTAACCTGTTTTGCATTATGGAAAGAAGTGACTGAGACTCAAGAGCTGTAAGTTTTGCTTTGGAAATGCTTTGACTTTAGGCACATCTGTTAACTAAAGTCTTCCTGTTTATGTATAAATAATTTTTGATTCCAGGTACAATTTTTTTTTCTTGTCTCTTTTTTTTTCCCAGGTACAATTTTTAGGTTTTGAGAATCAGTTGGGGACCGAAATTCTGGCTTAACTAAATATGGTACAATGAATACTAATTCTCAAAATTTATAATTGTATTAATTAAAATATAAAGCTAAAGATATGTTTCACGTCCCAAGCAGGTCTGGCACCAGTCCATGCATCGCATTTTGAGTAGCTTTGCTCTAAAGGCTAAATCACAATCTATTTTGGAAAGTCGAGGTAAAGTAGTTTTGAAATTAGAGAATTTGATTGATTGTAGAGAAAGTATAGTAATAATGAGAATGATGCATTGTGTTGACCAGATAGTCATTCACGCAATTTTTTTTTCCTAAGGGACACATGTAATTTGTACAATTTATCATATAATCAGATATTTTCATTATATTTTTTCTTAAAATTAGTTTTTGGAAAGGAGTCATGGGGATTGAACCCAGGGCCTTTGGAATGTTAAGCTCTCTAGCACTGAGCAACTTTCCCAGTCCAAATCTTAATTTTATTTTCCTTAGGCCACTGAACATTATTTAGTAATTACTGAATACTGCGAAGTTCAGTACTTCGCGAAGTTCATTACTGCGAAGTTCATTGTTGACCTAGATTCCTGAGGGTTGTTTTACCAGGAAGGATCTGGTGATTAAGGGTCTTCAGAAATCTTTGCCATGCCAGTGAGCCAAGAAGTCACTTTGGCCAACATCCTTTTAATTTTTTTTCCTCCCCTCCCCAATTTATTTTAGGTGAAATATATCACACTCTTCCCTCTGGACAAACAAGAAAAGATTAGATTTTTTTTTTTTTTTTGATGGTGGTACTGGGGATTGAATTTGGGGCCTTGTGTATGCTAGACAAGTACTGTACCACTGAGCCACATCCCCAGCCCTAGAAAATATTAGAGGGGGATTGAAGTACTGGGGAGTGAACATTTGCACCGAATTTGCATTACCTCCCCAGTACCCCTCCCCCCTTTAAAAAAAATCTTTTTAAAATTTATTTATTTGGTACAGGGCCTCACTGTGCAGCATGGACTGTAGTGATCCTCTTGTCTCAGCCTCCCCAGAGCTGGAATTATAGGCATGCAATACCATGTCCGGTTTCTGGGGCTAGCTCGGCTTGAGACTGGCATGACATGCTGTACTTGTGATCAAACCTGGGTCCTTGCACTTGCTAAGCAGGCTCTTAGACTGCTGAGCTATCTCTCCAGACACCTCTTTTCATTTTTTACTTTAAGAGGAGGTCTCAATAAATTGCCCAGGAGGGAACTCTTGTCTCAGCCTCTCCGGAGAGCTGGGATTATTGCTGCCATGCCTGGTTCCTTTCTAATTTTTTAAATGAAAAAAATAATTTATTCATTTGATATATGGTCATTCACACAAATTCATGTTCTAACAAAACTTAGCAAGGAGCATATTACTTTGTAAAGTAAGATCGACCTTTGAGCTGGGTGTGGTAACACATGCCTTTTAAATCCTAGTACTCTGAGAGTCTGAGGCAGGAAAACAGTAAGTGCTAACAGCCTGAGCAATTTAGCTCTATAGTCAATTAAAAAAAAAATTCATTAATTTCTCAAAAAACCTTTACTTACACCTTTCAGAAAAGGTGGCATAATAAACATAAAATCCTTGATTTTTATAGTATGAATGACCCACTTGGGGTACGACACTGTTGTCTGCTGAAAAACTAGCATAGCCTTAAATCAAATTGTAGCCTTGCTTAGCAGCCATTTCTCTTATTCTTTTAATTTTTTGGGGGGTAAAATTTAATGATTACCAATGATGTAAAGTATTTCCTTGTTTAAGAGGTGCTGTGTCTAGTTTCTGATTTTTTTTTTTTTTGTTGTTCTGGGAATTGAACTCAGAACCTCATGCTTGCGAGGAAGATACCATATCATTGAGCCATATCTCTGGCCCTAAAATATATTTATATTTCAGGTTACAGTCACTATTTTGTGAAATTAAATTATGGCCACTCCAATTTTTTAAAAAAGGAGATTTCTACCATTAAAATTTGAGAGAATCTTTTTGGCTCATTACAGTTGTTGAAAAACTACAACAACTGATGAACTAAATTGATTTACTATCTTTTTTTTTAACCATCTAATTTTTTTTTTTTCATTTATGTATTTGGTACAGGCTTTCACTGTACCGCTCAGACTCGTAGTGATCCTCCTGTTTTCAGCCTCCCCAAGAGCCGGGATTACAGGCTTCTACCTCACCTGGACTGGGTCACCAGCTCAGCACACCCTGGGGGCAGGGCTAGGGGGGCCCAGGGTGGGCACAGAAATAGAACCCTGGTCCCTGTGCTTGCCAAAGCAGGCACTTAGTCCACTGAGCTGTCTTGCAGGCCTTAACCACCTAAATTTTATCATTGGTTCAAATTACAGAATATATTCTTAAAGTATGAGGCAAATGTAGAAAACTATAAAATAGAATATTGAATACTATGAATGAAAAGGAAGTTTTATTGCTTGTCTTTTCTGATTACAAAAGTCACTTAGTACATGCATTGCTGGGGAAGTATCTGAATGGTAGAATACTTTGCTACTTCTGTGAGGCCCAGATTTGACGCTCCAGTGCCAAAAGAGAGAGCTTCAGTGAAAGCACAATTTTTTTATAAAATTTTCTAAATTGGAAAATTGAGAAAATTTTTATTAATGTGTCTAGCTTTTTGGTCTTCTGTACTTATTATAATTTGCCCTTACAGGTTTCTGTTGTTACTACCCTTGAAAATGTTTTTGTATTGCTTTTGCTAAATTTTATATTTAAAGGGAATTTGTTAGTAGAGTATAAATGCTAATTTTATGAGTTCCTTTCATCATGTTGTTTTTGTGGTGCTGGAGATCAAACTCAGAGCTTTATGTATATGAGACAGCCATTCTACCACTGAACTATATACACTATCAGCCATTACTGGTTTTTTTTTGTGGTGTTGATGCTGAAAATAGAACTCCCAACCTTGTGCTTGCCAGACAGGTGCTGTGTTGCTGAACTATATCCCTGGCCCCTCTACTGGTGTATTTTTTTAATACCTGGCAATTTGAGTTTCTTTGCTAAAAATAGTTTCTTGTTATATGTTAAACAAAGGAAAAATGTTACTATTCTTTCATCCTGTCTCATTCTCAACATAGAGCATGTATTACCAGCCCACTTTTTCTAAGACAAGTAACACAAAATATTGTTAACAAATATATTCTAAGTATTTATCCTTTTGTATTTAAGAAAATGGCTGGCTTAATTATGTTTGACTTACCATGAGTTTTGGGGGAAAATATTTTTTCCTAAAACCACATGTTATGAACCTTCCCTCCTAGGAAGTGCTTTGATTTTGCAAAGATAAGAATGAAAAGTTAAAGCTTTGTGTTGAAATGTTCTTTTGAATTTTAACTCATTTACAATCATACATTAAGAAAGTTGATAAAAAATTTTGTCTCATAATTTTGTAAAATAGGTAAAGATACTAGAAAACAATACCCATTCCTGCCAAGGAAAATAATACCACAAAACTTCATGTTTCATAGTTGGGGAAAAGCTATATTTTAGTACATTTTCATGTTTTCATTTTTATAGCACTAGAAAGTTTGGGCTTTGGCTCTTACATCAGTGAAGTAAAAGAAGTCTTACAAGAATGCAAGACAGTAGCATTGAAAAGAAGAAAGGCCAATTCTCGTTTGGAAAACCTTGGCATTCCTGAAGAAGAGTTATTGAGACAACAACAGGAATTATTTGCAAAAGTAAGTCACATATTTTACATTATTTTTATCTGAGTCTTCACTTGTTTGCAAATAGAAATCATTCAAGTATCTAAAATTACTTTCTAAAGTTCAACATAATATACCGAAAGGATTCTCTTTCTGTTGGTGATTGCCTGATTATGGAGTCTGGCCAGTTTGACTCTGGTATATATAAAAGTAAATATTTGGAGTAAACTATTTTCTAAAGAAAATAACACAAAAAATGTTGAGATTCTTCTTTGATGTTTTTTAGGCAGAATGACATCTCAATAGTATGAAAGGTGTTAGAACATGCTTGTAATCTCAGCCTTTCAGGAGACCAAGACAGGAGAATCTTACCTAACCTGGGCAACTTACCAAGACCCTATCTCAAAATGAAAAAAAGAGCTGAGGATATAGCTCATTACAAAGGCTCTTATTTCAATACCCACTACCATAAATGAGTGAATGAATAGAAGAAAGAAAAGAAATCCTGAAAAGACTTAGATTTTATAAAGAGTAGCACAGGAAGAAAATCTGATTAATATTTAATTTGTAGTTAAATTGGATCTTTTCACATATCTTTAAAATCTTCCAGCTTTAGGGCCCACCAGGTAGCTTAGCGGATTAAAGCGTTGGCAAGCAGGGCCCAGGGGGTTCGATCCCCAGACCTGCTGAACTGGCCCTGCCCCCAGGGCACGCTGAGATGGCAATTGAGACTGGGCATGGTGGCACATGCCTGTAATACCAGTACTTGGGAGGCTGTAAACAGAATCAGTACGAGTCCAATCTAGTAATGAGACCCTGAGCACCCTGTAGACCCTTCCCTAAAATTTAAAAAAAAAACAAAAATCCAGTTTTTTTTTTTGCGGAACCGGGGATTGAACTCAGGCCCTTGCGCTTGCCAGGGAAATGCTTATTCCACTGAGCCATCTCCCCGGTCCCTTTTTTTTTTTTTTTTTTTTTTTTTAATCCAATTTTTAAAGGAGCAATAGAGCAAAGAAAGAGAAAATTTTTCTTCTTTCTTGCCTGCTGCATTTCTAATGTCTAGTCTAGTGGTGGTGAACCTATGGTATGTATACCACAGTGGGCTGTTTGTATCTTTCAAAATACTTAAAGATTCACACAGACCTAGTCTATGAGGGATAGCTCCAAACAGTTACAGTTCTCTGTTTTAGAAAAGTGAGGGGTGGAAGTGACAAGGTTGGGTTTTTTCTGCTGAGTTTTAGTCTCTTTATTGAATGTTTTAGGTTGAATAGAAGTGAATTTTACCCCAGCTACTGGAGTATCCATTAGAACCAATAAGTATCATTTTAGGCAAACTCTCCCAAATTAACATTGGAACTGATTTCCCTGCAATCAAAACAGTTACTATAGTTAGCATTTTTGTCTTAATAGACATGAGACACATGGTACTATTTAAAATGATTATAAAAATAGTTTACCAATATTTATTTATTTTTTTATTTTATTGAGAAACAAATCGCAATGAGACATTTTCAAAACAGGTTAGGACAGTTTCAATAGTTTTTTTTTTTTTTTTTTGTATATTGTCTTTGTAGTGATTATTCATCGTACAAGATGCAGACATGATAGCCTGTTCAAACACTATTAATACAGATCTTCTCATTGAATTAAGTGAAAGTAGCTGTATATCTATCCTATTTTGTATATACAGATACAAATGGTCCTTCATACTCCTTTTTTTTTGTTCAGTTTTGTCAGAGATAGGTATTCCATTGCCATTTAAATATTTATCAATATTTATTGAGTTCTGACCATGTGTTAATCATATTGCCAAGTCATTTGCCTGTATTAGTTCATTCAATCTTCCTAAGAATCCTCAACACAGTAGAGAGAAGTCTGAGGCCTTCATGAACATATGCAAACAGTACTGTATCTGTATTGTAATATATATCAAAGAAGTGATATTTTAAAAACACTAATGACTATTACTTTATTCTGATTCTTTGCTATTGTAGATTACCTAGAGGATACCAAATTAAATACAGTGGTAACTTGGTTCAATTTTGTCTGTGCTTGTGGTCACAAACCAAACTGGATGAGAACCAAATCAAATTTCCAAAAAAAGTCAACATCAGACCTTACCATTGAATTTGGTTCCAGTCTTATCCAACTCAGTTTATGACCCAGGACTGTGGAAAAAAATCAAGTTAATGAACTGAGATGCCACTGTATGTGATAGAAAATATTCTGCTAGACATTTTATATACCTCACAAAATTTTTACTAAATAGTACATATTTTATTATGTCTGTTTACACATTAAAATAGAGACTCAGGTTTAAAAAAAACACCTTGCATATAATAATTCATTTCTGGGGCCCTGCCCATTAACTCCGTTGTTTAAGTGCCTGCTTAAACAAAGCAGTCAGGCTCAGGATGCTGTGGTTCGATTCCCAGATACTCAGCCCAAACAGACCTGCCCTGAAGACATTCTGAGACTGCAAAAAAATTAAAAACTAAATAAATAAAATAAAAAATAATAATAATAATTCATTTCTTCTAGATATTTACTGATGTCCTATCCAGCATTGTACAAAATGCTAGGCTTATTACAATTGACAAAAGAGGCATAGTGTCAGGTGTGGTGGCGTACACCTTTAATTCCAGCTGTTTGCAAGGCTGAGGCAGGAGGCTCTCGAGTTCAGGGTGAGCCTGCCTAACTTTATGAGGCCCTGCCTTAACATAAAAGTGTTTCAGAAGGGTTAGTGAGTACCTCAGTGCTGACTACGTGCCCAGTATGTGCAAGGCTCTTTGTTTGGTCCCTGCTACCAATACAGATACACACAAAGGGAGCAGGGGAAGACATAATTTCAATCATTATAGAATATAGTCTACTGGGAAAAGTTGACTTATATAAAATAGGTAAGGTTAGGGGGACCGGGAGATGGCTCAGTGGAATACGTGCTTCCCTGGCAAGCACAAGGGCTTGAATTCAATCCCCGGTTCCGGAAAAAAAAAAAAAAAGGTACAGATCTGGGTGTGGTGACCCATGCCTATAATTCCATATACTCAGGAGGCTAAGACAGGTAGATCGTAAGTTCCAGGCCAGTCTGGGCAACATAGTGAGGTTCTGTCCCAAAATTTAAAAAAAAAAAAAAAATAGGTAAGGTTAGACAGTTTAAGAAGTGCTAGAGTCTATAAAGTCATGTCTTAATTCCCAAATCTGTATTCTCTCTATAATACATATGTGTGCTGTGCCCACCACTTGCTGCTTAAATTTATCATGGAATTTTTAAAAATAGGGCCAAAAGACACATAAAAAAAATAATTGAGAAAAAAGAATTCGACTACCTGTGATATCTGTCTTCACCTCTCTTCCTTTACCTCCTTGCTTTTTTATCCTGGCTTATGGGTGAATATCCCTAGTATTTCTTACTTTTGTGAGGAAGATCAGAAAGAAGTAAAATTATAGTAGTTGTCTTGCATTTCTTCTTAAGAGCACAAAATATTTTAAGTTATTAACATAAAAGGAACCAGTAAGTACTTTGTTTTAAAATCATTTTGTTCCCTGTTTTTTCTTTATTTCAAATACAAACAGACATAGATTCATTCAAAGACAGGAGCAAATATTTGGAAGGAGAAAGCCTTTAGTACATCAAGACTAATGTTACTAGTAAATTATAAATGAATCATTTCAGTATGTGGAGTAAGAAGTTTAACACGTGGTGCAAAAGGATTAAGATGTGTTATGTACATTTACTAACTCCGCACAATGAATGTAATCATTATGTGCTGCAAACATGTACTAATAAATTTTTTTTTAAATAATGAAAATTGCCAAAAGAGGTAATGAATTAAGAATTATATGCTTACTTACCTCTGTTACCCCTTTCATTTATTTGTTCATTCATTTGTTCATTTATTCAACTGTTTGGTTGGTTGACTTTTGGTACAGTGTCTCACTGTATAGTTCAGGCTGGTTTTACTTTGTACTCTAGCCCAGGCTGGCTATGAACTTGCAGCGATCCTTCTGCCTCAGTTTCCTAAATACTGGCTAGGATTACATGTCTGGCTCCCCCTCCCCCTTATTTATTTTTTTGTACTGGGGGATTAAACTCAAGACCTTATACTTACCAGGCAGGTGCTTATGCCACTGAGCTGTCTTCTCTGTTCCCTCTCATTTTAGAAGAAAAATGTTTGGGATAGTTGGGTTAGAAGGCATGGAGAAAAAATGAAGTTAAACTGTACTGAAATTTTTAATTTATAGAAATGAATGCAAATTATATTAGTTAACAGTAATTTTTAGTTTTTCTGTTTTACTTTTTTTTCTTTTTTTTTTTTTGAGACAGGGTCTTGCTGTGTATAGTTGAGACTGAGACTGGTCTTGAATTCACGATGTAGCCAGCTGGCCTTGAATTCACAGTGATTCTCTTGCTCTAGCCTTCCCAGTATTAGGATTATAGATCTGTGCCATCAAGCCTGGCTCAACAGTAATTTTTTTATTTTTTTTTTTATTTTTTTTTATTTTTTTATTTTTTATTTATTTGAGAGAGAGAGAGAGAGAGAGAGAGAGAGGTGTGTGTGTGTGGCCAGCTCAGCCCACCAGGGGGCGGGGCTGGCTGGCATGTGGTGCTGGGGGATTGAACCGCGGTCCCTGATGCTTTGCCAAGCTTGTTCTAAGTAGGTGCCTTAGACCACTGAGCCATCTCTCCAGCCCCTCAACAGTAATTTTTAAAAGAACAAGAATGTGCTTACATTCAGAGAAAAGTATGCAAAAATTGATCAAAAAACACAGTGCATGTTCAGATTTTAAAAGTGGAAGTTATCTTTCATAAGTCTATCCATAAGGTATGATAAAAAATATGAATGTGGCTTCTCAATGTCTGTCATCAGTGGAAGACAGGCTCGAATATGGTATCTCATCATCTGCTATATATTAATAACTGAATATGGCACTGTGTGACTTGTCAAAATGACAATGAAAAGTAAATTTTTTGAATTCAAACATCAAGATAGCTACAACAGTGCAACTAAAGATCAAAAAAGAACCCGTGGAACTAAGAATAATGGGATAAATGTGTTGAATGTAGAGGGAATATTTTGAGGATTAATTAATGGAAATATACCATTTACTGTAATTAATACCATTTTTAAAAAATACCTTTTTGATCACATCTTGTGAAGGCTGATATATGGGACCTTACTGTTTAGAAGTTGATTAAATTTGGGTACAACTAAATACGTGCCTCTGCAGACCATTGAATAAACTGTAAGATGAAGCATTTTTACAATAAAATTTTTGTAGAGACTTGAAATTATGTGAATTTTTGTCACTAAATTATAGATTAAATTGTCATATTTGATTTATTCTGACAATTAAACTTCTTTTTAACAAAGCACTCTTTTGAGCTCTTTTGACATTCCTGACATAGAAGTACATTTACCAATGTGTTAGAATTGTGTCCCATTTTCTTTATAAAGCGAGGTGAAAATAATTATTAGAATATTTACTTTCTAATTTTCAAAGGAAAATAATATTTTGGTGTACTGTAAAATAAATAAAATTCTTGGGGCTAGGGATATAGCCCAGGGGCATAGTACCTTCTTGGCAAGCGCAAGGCCCTGAGTTTGATTGCACACACCAAAAAAAAAAAATTAGCTATTTTTTTTTTAATGTCTTTCCGGCTTATACCCATGTATGAGTGTTCCCTCTTTTTTGTAATATGATTATGTTTAGAATTTGTTACTTATTCCTTTGCTTTGACCTCTGTCGCCCCACAGAGACATCTAATCACCAAATTTGTGACTTCATTTTTAATTTTTCTTTTTGATATTAAAACAAAACAAAACAAAATAGACCTTTCTCTTAACTAGCCTCTGAGCAATATTGTCTTTACTTTGGATAGTCCCTTCCCCAAGGCAGTTATATTTATTTTCATTTTCTGCTTCATTACTATCACCTTTACTAAGATAACCTAATTTCTGCTGTGAATATTTATAAGAATTCAGTTATCATGTATGTTATGATGCTACAGATGTATGAAAATGGAAGTACTGTATCATTCTTGTTCTTAAGAAACTTAGTGCCTCATAGGAAAGGTATAATAGATATATTAATAACTGTAACATTGGCTTACTACATTGATGAAGAAGAAAACTCATACATGGCTAACTTTCATGAGAAGAAAATCACATGTATAGAGATGTCACATAATATTTTGGGGGTGTTAAACTTTTTCAGCTACTGAGCATTGTCTTAACCTAAAACTCAGCTTTGTATGCTCTGCTTCACCCCATCATGACCAGCACACACACGATCTGTAGGGGATTTCCCAGTGGATATCTGAAACCATCCAAAGCCTATAGCATATATGTCATGGGTAGTGTGAACTTTCATCATGCTGCTCAAAGTGGCTCATAATTTCAGGCTTATTTACTTCTGGAATTTTCTATGACTATAATTTGATCGGTTGTATGAGTATCTAAAACTTCACATAGTGAAGTCTTATGTGAGAAGGGGCTACTTATATGCATATGGGGTGGAATATACTGCAAATCACCTTCGCTGGTGAACTGATTAGGCTCTGATGTCAGCTGAGGGTGAACATAAAAAGGGCTTGCTTCTTTTACTTCCTCTTGGCTTCCATTTACTTGGAGCAAACCAGGAGTACTTTAACCTGACTGCGGGCAGTTGTCTTGTGAGGAACTGAATCCTGTCCACATTTTCTCTGATACTTAGAGAACTAGTCAGAACCTGTCTTCTGGAATATGAATTCCAAACCTTGGGTTCTTGCTCCAAGTTCAAATGTATTAGCACTAGGTAACTTATGCTTTCTTCTTTCTTCGAGGTCTGAGTTTCAGTTCCATATGGTTGTTACTTTACATTTAAATTTTAAAGATTATAGCCTTGACCTTTATGCCCAGTTTTAGAGTTAGTGATTGCTCTCTGCTCTCACTACCTCTGTTATATCTTGATGTTCTGTTCCTGTCTTTTCAGTTGCCTGTTAACAACTTCATGCTTTAATGTTTTTATTAAATTCTTACTGTTCTTAAATGGTGTGATTTCTGTCTTTTGGTGCTGTATCTTGACTAATATAGGGAGGGAAAAAATAGCATTTCAGTTTGACTTGGAAAATGAGTGCAATTTCAGTAGGTGAAAATTCAGGAAATTTTAAATAGTATGACTATCAGCAGTATAACTTGGGAAACATTTTCACTGTAACTTAAAGAGGCAGAAGAATTAAGTGAAATGAAAGGAAGGGAGAAAAACAGGAAGGAGCCAAAGAGAATTATTAGTGTGATTTTTTTCAGTTAACATTTTCAACTTCTTAACTGGGCATGTTGGCTCATGCCCATAATCTCAGTCTAAGGGAGGATCACCTGTAGTTTGAGGCCTGCCTGGGTGCTGCATAGTGAGTTCAAAGCCAGTTTAAACTACATAGTAAGACTATCAAAAACACAAAACAAAAAATTTTCAACTTCTTCACTTGGACAAAAGGTCTTGGAATTCTGGTTTTCCAGATATACCGCAATTACATAGTAGATGGAAAATATCCGTGTTTAATAATGTTAAACATATCTGTTACTTGGCTTAATTTACATTTGACTGAAATGACTTGTATAATTTTATTTTGAAGAGTAAAAACAAGCAAAAACAGAAAAAAAGAAATAGTACATAACATACAACATTGCATAAGTTACAGATTTTTAAAACAGGAATAGCTAATTAACAATGGTTGTTGTAATGGCTCTTTAAAAGTATTATTTGCTTTTATGTTTTTGATGTCTAGGCTCGACAGCAGCAAGCAGAATTGGCCCAACAGGAATGGCTTCAAATGCAGCAAGCTGCCCAGCAAGCACAGCTTGCTGCTGCCTCAGCCAGTGCATCTAATCAGGCAGGATCTTCTCAAGATGAAGAAGATGATGATGATATCTGAAATTCACCAGCTGAGTTTCTGTTTCCTCTATAAATTTTTTTCTTGCACAACAAAACAGTGAAAGAAATGCTTATCTGTAATTTTGTGTGCATCTTGATGGACTCACCATTGGTATTCTAGGGATGTCTACTAAGTTTCATCTGTTGTGTGCTATACATGTAAAAACTGTCTCTTTGAACTGTTGAAAATATAAGGTTCAATATAATATCAATTTTGAATTTTTAAAGGTGTTTATGAAATTTTAGATAGCAGTGAGCCCTTTATTTGATCAATAAACAGTGTTACAGAAAGCTTCAAGTTTATAAATATACAGTGAAATTTATACAGAAGCTCTTAATCTGCATTTGCAATTCCTCTGTCCTTTTAACTAAACTAAAATTAGGAATTTTAAACTGAGATCTGGTGTGATATGACACAATGCATTGGATCAGCTTGGTTAAATAGAAGTTCAGTTCTATAGTATCTGAATTTTTTATCTTTTAAAAAGAGTATATATAGAAGTAATAAATATATGTATACTCAGATGCATACACTTGTTTAGAGAAACTTCAAAATAAGACTGAAAATTTAGAAGTGTTTTCATTAATAGTTGTACAAATTTGGTGAATTTTTTTTATTTTGTTTTGTGTAGAAGTAAAAACTAGTTTTATTACAGCATAATTTATCTTGAGCTATGCTATTACATTTCAGAGACTGCCCAATTTTGAAGTCTGTCATTATTCTTACTGTTTCACTCCAGTTCAGTAATTAATAGTTCTACTTGCTTAGTCTATCCATGTTTATATTATTCAGATATATAATTGGGACTTGTTAAACAATTGCTTGGGTTCTGTTAGTTTAACTGAGGTTTATAAATATTCAGACCTTTACCAGGGATAAGAAATGAAGTCTGATGAGCATGCTTGTAATGGAAAGAGCCCTCCCTTTTTTTTTTTTTAAATTTAACTTACAGCTGTAAGTTTTACATTTTACTTTTACCATTATATGTACATTTTCTTGACTAAATGGCCTAGAGTCCTCTGCTACCCTTTGAAATGGCATCATTATCTCCTTCATCATAGCTTTAAAATAAAGTTTGGTTTTAAGAAAGTGTGTCATAATCTATCACCCCTGTATGAAGCATAAATAGTTTAAATCTGCTTGATAAAAGAGAGAAGCTTTAATTTGGTTCTAATGAATAGAAAATGGTATTGATTGTTATAGGAATCTAGTATACGGAGAAATTGTATATTTGTTTGTATCTGAGGAACAGAAAGTAAAAGCCAATTAAGGTAATATGAAGTAATTAAATTCCTATGTCAATTGCCAAATCATTTAAATGTCTATATTCACCAAGCCCCAAAATAGATCGTCATTGCAAGGATTCCAATTTTAATGGAAGAACTAAATAAGTAAAGGTTATAAGTATTAGATTTGTTAATGATTATATTTTGCAGTTTTAGGAAAAGGGAAATAGTGTTATATATTTATCAAATACACTTCACCCACATAATGAGAAGGTTAATAATTTTGATGCATGTTTTCAGTTGAAATTACTTCATGGATATTATACCCTTGAAGTGTATTTGGACGAAATGGAAAGAATTGTTTTTTTAAAAGTTAAAGTACCAAAGGTAGTCTGGTCTAGAGGAATAATTAAGTGTTGGCTTTACTAATTTGTACTGTAACATGCTTATACTTTCTACATTACATGTATGTATTTCTTAAGTAAATAACTTAGGTATTCTTCCATACTTTTTTCTTTCTGATGCAGAGTTCAGGTTAATATTTTACTGCATCTGATAATGTATTATATGTTTGAAGCCTAGTGACTTTTTATTTTGACATTTTTGTGATTGCATATGCTGTATTCTTCAAGCAATAAAATTCTGACGTGTTTTATAAATTGTTTTTATGTTTAATGATCTGTAGGGCATTTCTTTCACTATTCTTGCTAGTTTCAAGATGTTAGACCCAAAGAACATCTTGGTTTTATAGCATGTATCTACCTTTCTCATTTAAGAAATATTTTAATTTTAGCATTTAAAAGTAGCTGCTATTATATGTTGCCAGTCATTGAAACTTTTTAGAGAAACAAAATCTTTATGGAGTTTTTGAGAAATAGTTTCTTTTTTTTTTTTTTTTTTATTTTGTGCAGGGTCTTACTACACAGCTTAACTCATAGTGATCCTCCTGTTTTCAGCCTCCCCAGCGCTGGTATTATGGGCATGCACCACCATGCCCAGACTCCAGAAATAATTATTGTTTAGTAAAGGATCTCTCATATCCCCTTGAATATATATCTTTTCACCAGATTGTAAGATTGATAGGTTTTGAAAAGCTACCAATCTTTAAAATTGCATATACCATTCATACAGAAGAGTATACAATAAGGGTTTGCACAAACTAAACATACTAGTATTTAGAGGAAGACAAGCACTATGTTCCCACTTGTCCCTATTTTAACACTCTTTCTCTGGAAGTAACTATTGTCCTGACTTTTAAAAGTATGTTTTGTTTTGTTTTGTTTTGTTTTGTTTTGTTTTGTTTTTGTACAGGGTCTCACTATGTGGTTTGGACTCATAGTGATCATCTTGTTTTCATCTTCCCTAGTGCTAGGATTACAGGCACATACCATCATGCCCAGGCTTGGTCACCTACTCAGTGTGCCTGGGGGCAGGGCCGGTGCAGCATGGTGGTACCGGGGATGAAACCCCTGCGTTTGCCTAAGCAGGTACTTAGTCCTCTGAGCTAATCTCGCTGGCCCTTATCCTGACTTTTAAAACCATTGGATTAAGTCTGCCCATAATATACAATAGACTTTTCTCACTTATTTTTGTGACTGTTGCTTCTGTAATAAATAGCGAAATTTAGTGACTTTTTTTGCTTACAGTGCTGGAGATCAAAAGTCCAAAATCAGTTGTTTTTTTTTTTAAAATGTATCTGGTACAGGGTCTCACTATGTCCCTGGGGGCAGGGCTGGCGCATCATCAAAATTCTTTTAATTAAAAAAAAATTTTTTAACATTTTTTGTTTTTATTTTTAAAACTAGGTTCATAGGTACATTTTAGGTACACACAGTGATCACATTCATCATAGGAATTTGTCCCTATACACCATACATCATGATTCTTTTTTTCTATCCCCCACCATCTCTTCAACCCTCTTCTCCCTATTTATAAAAGCTTTGTTTTTGTTTTCTTCTGTTTTTCTTTTTCCTTTTTTCTTTTCTCCCTTCTCCACTTCCTATTTCATGATAAGACCATACTCTTAAGTAAAATAAATCAGATACACATGTGTGAATACCACATTGTTTCTCTGGTTTGAGATACTGAAAGTATATATAAGGGCCAAAATGTGTAATAGATATTGTGAAATAGGAAGAAAATGTTCAAATGGGAAAGGGAAACTAGGGAGGGGGAGGGGGAAATAAAGGAAAGGAAAAGAAAAAATCAGTTTCATTAGGCCAAAATCAAGGTATTAATTAGCAGGTTTGGTTCTTTCTAAAGGTCACAAGAAGAGAATCTGATTTGACATCGTTTTTCAGCTTCCAGTGACTTACTCTGTTCCTGAGCTTACAGCTCTTCTGTGTTAAAAGCCTGATTTTGTTGTTCCATCATCTCTTGTATAGTCAGATCTTTCTTTCCCTCTACATTTGTAGCCTGTGAATATTCTCAGGATTCTTAATCAGGTGTGCAAAGTCTCTTTTGCCATATGAAGTAACTTACATAAATTCTATGTATTAGGGCCTGGATATCTTTGGAGGCCATTATTTAACCTAACAAAGGAAGACCCTACAATGTTGTTGTGTGTATTTACAGTTCTTTCATTCTCATTGCTGAATACCATAGTGTTCAGTTTATTTTTTAGTGTATATCCCAAATTATCCATTCTACCATTGGTGAACATTTGAGAAATTTCTCTTCTGAGCTATTACAAGCATTCTTTTGTGTATCTTTTGGTGATTGTATATATACAATTCTGTTAAATGGCTGGGTCATGGATTGTGTATATTTTCAATCTTGGTATGTGTATATTTCAATCTTGTTTGTAAAAAGGCACCATTTTAATGTGTACTGTAGAAAATTAATGGCCTACAGGTCTGAAAATGTTTATGAATTTCTCAAAAAATCATCAGGTCCATTTAATATGTAAAAGAATAAAAGTGAAAGTATTTTTATTACTAATATTAGGCATTGCTCCTCAGAAAACATGCATGTTTTAGGTAATCATAAATAATATGTGAGGGCCAGGGAGATACCTCCGTGGCTTAAGTGCTTCCTTGGCAAGTGCAAGGGCCAGAGTTCCATCTCCATACTGCAAAAAAAAAAAAGAAAACAAAAAGGACAAAATGCTCTCTTGCTTTCTGCTTATAAATATGTTGAGTTTAAAAATAGTATGTTGAATTATAGATAAATTTATTTATTTAATTTTTCAGTAACGTAATTTATTAAAACATCCAGATAGCTCCTCATAGAATTCTCTAAATCAGTTATGTCTGTCCAACTCTGTGGCCATCAGAAAGAATTATTGAATCCAGAAAACAGACACTTTTCCACTGGCTTCACTTAGATTCTTTTTACTTCCTTCTCACCATGCCCCTATAGTCTTTTCCACCTTGCTCTGGGCTATAGAATATCTTAGGTAAGATCAGCTAATGTGAAGAGCAGTGAAATGTTGCAACAGCAAGCAGAAATGCCCAAATGACACCCTTATCATCAGGCACTGATCAGCATCATTCCAAAAATATCAGGCCCTTTCTCTGGTGGCCTAGGGCTTATATTAGATAAACAAGCAGGAAGTACAGAGGCAGAGTAACTTGTCAATCGGAGATTGGTTTATACAGTTTATATCATAGTGACCAGCTATATATCACAATGATGAACTGTTTCTGAGAGTAACCAGATCTGGAAGAGGAACTTTTACCTGGGCCAAGAAGAAGCTGAAATATACTGGCTAGGAGGGACCATTTTCTGTTGTAGTGTTGCCACTGATTATTTCCTCAGTACATGAAATAAGAAAAGAGGAAATAAAAAGAAAATTTTTTACTTAGGGTCTATTTGTGCCATAAATCAATAGACCCAGGATTTCTCAACCTCAGCATTGGCATTTGGGGCTAGTTAACTGTTAGGGGAGATTACCTTGTGCATTGTAGGTCTGTAGCTGCATTCTTTACTTAAATCTAGTATACGCCAGTAGCTGTCCTTCCAACCCTACTCCCCAAGTATCAGCCCCAAAATATCTGTAGACATTGTCCAGTGTCCCTAGGAGATGAGAAGGGGTCAAAATTAACTCCCCTCCCCCATTGA